TATAAATCCTATCTCTTATAATCCTTTCCAACACTTTACCCACAACCGAAGTAAGGCTCACTGGTCTATAATTACCAGGGTTGTCTCTACTCCCCTTCTTGAACAAGGGGACAACATTTGCTAGTCTCCAGTCTTCTGGCACTATTCCTGAAGACAATGACGACATAAAGATTAAAGCCAAAGGCTCTGCAATTTCCTCTCTCGCTTCCCAGAGAATCCTAGGATAAATCCCATCCGGCCCAGGGGACTTATCTATTTTCACACCTTCCAGAATTGCTAACACCTCCTCCTTATGAACCTCAATCCCGTCTAGTCTAATAGACTGTATCTCAGTATTCTCCTCGACTGCCACTGAACTTGCTGGTTAACCTTAAGAGAATCCTGAACTAAGATTTCTAAGTCCGTTTGTGCTTCAGATTTCTGAAGCCATTCCTTGTTTAGAAAAAAGCCTACACATCTATTCTTCCTACCAAATTGCATAACCTCACACTTTCCCGCATGGTATCCCATCTATCATTTCTTGTCCTAACTTGTCCATTTCTTCTGCAGCCTCCCAACCTCCTTAACACTATCTGTCCCTTCACCTATCTTTGTGTCACCTGCAAATTTCACAACAATGCCCTCAGTCCCTTTATCCAGACCGTTAATGTATAACATGAGTAGCTGCGGTCCCAACACTTTTTCCCAACTATTACAAGGGGGCATAATTTTAAGGTGATTGGAGGAAGGTATAGGGGAGATGGCAAAGGTAGGTTCTTCACACAGAAAGTTCTGGGTGCATGGAATGCGCTGCCAGCGGTGGTAGTGGAGTCAGATACATTAGGGACATTTAAGCGACTCTTGGATAGGCACACGGATGATAGTAAAAAATAGGGTATGCAGGGTAGTTTGATCTTAGAGTAGGATAATAGGCTGGCACAACATCATGGGCTGAAGGGCCTGTACTGTTCTATGTTCTGTGTTCTATGACCCTTGCGGTACTACTCTAGTCACCAGCTGCCATCCTGAAAAAGACTCCTTTATTCTCATCGTCTGCCAGTCAGCCAATTCCTCTATCCATACCAGGTCCTTGCCCCTAACACCATGGGCATTTATGTTATTTAGCAGCTTCCTGTGCAGCACCTTGTTAGAGGCCTTCTGGAAATCCAAATAGATCATGTCCATTGACTGGCCTTTGTCTAACTTGCTCATTACCTCCTCAAAGAATTCGAACAGATTTGGCAGGCATGACCTCCCCTTAACAAAACTGTGCCAGCTCAGTCCTATTTTACAATGCACTTGCAAGTACTCCGCAACTTCTTCCTTAATAACGGACTCTAAAATCTTACCAATGATTGAGGTCAGGCTTATCAGCCTCTTACACATCGTCAGATCCAGAATTGCCCATTCTCTAGCGGGCTCCACCACAAGCTGCTCCAAAATACATCACAGAGACATTCCATGAATTCCTTTTCTTTGGATATGCTACCAACCTGATTTTCCCAGTCCACTTACACACTGCAGTCCCCCATGAATATTGTAATAGTGCCTTTCTTAGCTGCCTTTTCCACATCCTGATTTATTTTCCGCCCCACATTCTGATTACTGCTCGGAGGCCTGTACATAACTCCCATCAGGGTCATCTTTCCTTTGCAGTTCCTCAACTCTACCAATGCAGATTCTACTCCTTCCGACCCTGTATCACTTCTTCCTATTGATTTAATTTCATTTCTTACAATCAAGGCAACACTGATCCCTCTACCCATCTGCCTGTGCTTTTGATAGGACGTTTGTCTTTGAATGTTTAGTTCCCAGCCCTAATCTCCTTGCAGCCATGTCTGTATGATGCCCACAACACTGTACCCACCAATTTCAATGTGCACTGCAAGCTCATTTGCCTTGTTTCGTATACTGCACACACTTAAGTACAAGACACTCGGTCCTGAGTTGATTGTCCCCTTCTCGTAGTTGTCCCCTTCTCATAGTTGTCCCCTTACCTGCTGTGCCTGAAGTTAGATTCCTGACCCATTCCATACCCTCTGTCCTATTACTTGCTCTGGAAACTGTATTAACCTCTCCTGAGCCCCCTTCTTCTCCCCTTTTAACTAATTTAAAGTCATTGTGACCTCGATTTATGCCATTAGTTCATCTATCTTATTCCGAATTAGCCATGCATTAAGATAAATTTAAGTTTGTTTTATTATCGAGTTTCCCAACACTTGTACAGTTCTTGATACAACTGAACATGCAACTGAACTTACCCCTTCTCCACTATTTCATTCAAAACCCCATCCATAGCCAAGACTCTGGTCCCAGCAGGATTCTGGCAGAGAACAAGCCATTGGAGCAGTTCCCTCCTTCCCCAGTACTGATGTCAATATCCCAGTAATTCAAGCCCATTTCTCCCACACTAATCTTTAAGCTGTGCATTTACCTCTTTAATTTTGTTAACCCTGTGCCAATTTGCTCATGCATCAGATAGTAATCCGGAGATTATTATCTTTTTGGTTCTTCTTTTTAGTTCAGCCCCTAGTTGCTCGTATACTCTCAGAAGAACCTCTTTCTGCCTATATCATTGGTACCTATGTGGATCACGACAACTGGATCTTTCCCCTTCCACTCCAAGTTCCTCTACAGCCCAGATGAGATATGCTGAACCTGGGCATTAGGCTAGCAACACAGCCTTCAGGACTTTCAATCCTGGCCACAGAGAACTCTGTCTATTCTCCTGACTATACTATGTCCAATAACAACTACATTTCTCTTTTCTCCTCCCTCTTGAATGGCTCCCTGCACCACGGTGCTGTGGTCAATTTGCTCATCCTCCCTACAGCTCCCACTCTCGTCCACACAGGGAGCAAGAATCTCAAAGCTGTTAGACAAGCTCAAGGGCTGAGGCTCCTTCAGCACTACCTCCTGGAACCCTCTACCTGCCTCGCATGTACTCACACCCTCCTGTTCCTGACCACTGTCTGAATTCAAGGTAGTTTGTCTAAGGCGTGTGACTGCCTCCTGAAACACAGCATCCAGGTAACTCTCCCTCTCCCTAATGTGTCGCAGTGTTTGAAGCTCTGACTCCAGCTTATCAATTCTGAGCCAGAGTTCCTCAAGCAACTGATGCTTGCTAAAGATGTAGTCACTATGACCATAATGGGGTCCACTAGCTCCTACATCATGCAGGCACAGCACATTGCCTGACCCAGGATCTCTATTTAATGACTTAGTTCTTAGTATGTTGTTATAAAAATTTTCTACTGGTCTTTTAGTTTGTAATCTGTAAATATTTCTCCTATTTTCCTTCAATCTGAAAGTAACCTATAGTAGATAGTTAAATTAGCTGCTGTTATCACCCAATGGACGTAACAGTATTCATGTGCTGTCACTCTTTGTTTTGTGCTGGGCCCCCGATCTTGGGCTTCAAAAAAAAAAGCCCTACAAACTGTGAATCCAAAAAAAACAAGCAAAAAATCCCCTTTACCTCTGCATTAAATTCCCATGCTTTCTCCAAAGTCCCCAAAATATATACTCACTCAGTCCCACTCCATATGCAACCTCTCCTTCCTGAGTGAAGCTTACTGATTGACCTCGTTCTGAAAGACCAAATATAACACATGTACTGGTTCCCTTCTATCCACTCTGGTTGAGACTTCCTCAAAATCTCTACTAAATTAGTCAGACATGGTTTCCCTTTCATGAAGCCAAGCTGACTCTGCTTGATTAAATTATGAATTTCCAAATGTTCCTCTGTTACTTCCTTAATAAATTTTTCCAATACTTTTCCAACAATAGATGTTAGGTTAATCAGGCTATAGTCACCTGCTTTCTGCCTTCCTCATTTCAGATGCTGCCTGACCTGCTGAGTTTCTCCGGTGTTTACTGTAAATAAATTACTGGTTAATCATTTCATATTTTGATCATTTATGCTACTACACTCCTTGCTGCTATTGCTTTGTACCAGATAAAAAGTGCTTAATATGATACAACACAGATAAAAGCTTCTAACTAAGGATACCAGAAATCTGAAATTAAAACAGAAAATGGTGGAACTACTCAGAGGGTCTGACTGCTTCTGTGGAGTCAATGGTTTATGTAGTGGTTTGCTTCATGACTGAACTAAGGTCGAAATGTAATAGGTTTTAAACAAGTGAAAGACAACAGGAGGGATAAAGAACAAAAGGGAAGGTTTATGACAGATTTGAAGCCAGAAGAAGCTACCTGTCAAAAACATTACCTGGTCCAAAATGTAAAGTTAATAGTAGCAAAAAAACAAAACATTTGTCCAGAGTGGATGTGAATGTTTGGAGGGATGTGGGCCAGGAGCAGGCAGGTGGGACTACTTTAGTTTGGGATTATGGTCAGCATGGACTGGTTGGATTGAAGGTCTGTTTCTGTGCTGTATGACACTATGACTCTATGAATGACAGAGTATTGTACAACTACATCCAACAGCAAATAAATGAATGAATGAATAAAATCTCAACAGAAAATCTATTCCAGCCAATCATTTGCAATGGAAAGGCATCTTTGTACCTTCAAAGAATATTCTGTCCACAAAAACTGTCCTGAAGAGAGCATCAATTTGAATTTCAAAATTATTCTGTGAAGGGAGACAGTGAAGCTCATGTGAAGCAGAAAGACCTATTTCTGTGCTGCAGTACATATTTTGTAAATTAAGCTGCTTCATGTCATGAGAAACGAGCTCTTGACTAGATCTTCTTTTCAGGTTCACTGGTGGATGATGAGTCTTTGATTGGAGTCCTTCAGGTAACCAAGACAACAGCAACTGAAGTAAGTGAGAAGCTGCACGTGGCAGCAGAGACGGAGATAAAGATTAACACTGCACAGGAAGAATACCGACCAGCAGCTACTCGTGGGAGTATTCTGTATTTCCTCATCACTGAAATGAGCATGGTTAACATGATGTACCAGACCTCACTTGCACAATTTCTGAAATTATTTGACCTCTCTATGGCAAGGTATGTTTCTCAATGCTGTCAGTTAGTAACTTATAAAGAAAAGGTTTACAGAAAGTAATCAAACCAATGGAGGCCAGATCTGTTCATGTGCAAGTCTGATATCATCAAAGCACATTTGAAAAAACATCCAGTGCTGACAATCTGACATGATAATACAAAGATTAGAAACACACATTAATCAGAGGTGGAGGCCCAGACGAATGCTCTGAGGACATGGGTTCAAAGTGCACCACAACAGATAGTGAAATTTGAATGCAATTGAAGAAAGTCTGGAATTAAAAAGCTAGTCTAGTGAAGATCAAGTGTTAATTGTCATTCAAAGCCATCTGGTTCACTAATGTCCATGAAGGGAGGATATCTGTGATCCTTACCTGACCTGGCCGAAATGTGACTCCAGACACGCAGCAATATGAAATGGCCTAACAAGCTACTCAGTGGTCCCAAAACCTGTCTAAATAAAATTGGATGGATCATCCAGCACCAAAAAACTGACAAAGACAAACCTATCCCTATTCACCATGCAAAGTTCTTGTTAGTAAACTCAGCAAGTTTGTGAGAAAATTGGGGAGCTGTCCCAAAGACTGTTCAAGCAATAGCCTGAAAAATTCATACCTCACAGAATTTTACCTTACACTGACCCACTCACTGCACCAGGAAACACATGCATACACTGTACTGGGTAACATGCACATGCACTGTACCAGGAAATGGATCCAGTTACTCTACCAGGAAACGCGTACACGCGCTGTACTGGGAAATGTTTCCATACACTGCCCAGGGAAACAACCATACCCACTCTACGGGAAACAGATACACTCACTGTACTGGGAAACACATATGCTCACTGTACTAGGAAACAGACTCTCTCACTATACCTGGAAACAAACCCACACCAGTCTACTGGGAAACAGACCCACAGACTGTCCTGGGAAAGAAACCCACACAGTGTACCAGGAAACAGACCCGTTCAGTCTAACGGGAAACAGACCCACATGCTGTACCAGGAAATATACACATGCACTGTACTGGGAAACACGTATACTCACTGTACCAGGAAGCACGTACAGGCATTGTACCTGGAAACACTGGGAAACATGTACATGTGCTGTACCGGGACACATATACACTACCGTACTGGGAAACACGTACGTGCATTGTACCAAGAAACACATTTACTCACTGTGCTGGGAAACACATACAGGCACTGTATTGGTAAATGAGTCCATTCACTGTCCTGGGAAACAGCTATAACCACTCTATAGGAAACATGTACATTCACTGTACTGGGAAACACATACACTCACTGTACCATGAAACACGTACAGGCATTGTATCTGGAAACATGTACACACACTGTACCAGGAAACATGTACACGCACTGGACCGGGAACCACATGCAATCACTCTATTAGGAAGCATGTACACTCACTGTACCGGGAAACAGACCCACTCACTCTAACGGGAAATAGACCCACACACTGCATTTGGAAACAAAACCACTCACCGTGCAGGGAAACAGATCCACTCATTGCACTGGGAAACAGACCCACTCACTGTACTGGGAAACAGACCCACTCACTCTACTGGGAAACAGACCCATACACTGTACCAGGAAACAGTTACACTGATTGTACCAGGAAACGACTACACACACAGTCCTGGAAAATGGGTGTACTCACCATATCAGGAAATACATGGACTCATGGTATTGGAAAACATGTACACTCACTGTACTGGGACATGGGTCCATGCACTGTCCTTGGAAATAGCTACACCCACTCTATGGGAAACACGTACACTCACTGTACCAGGAAACACATAAATGTGCTGTACCGGTACACACGTACACTGACTACCAGGAAACATGTACGTGCAGTGTACCAGGAAACACATATACTCACTGTGCTGGAAAACATGTACAGGCACTGTACTTGGAAATGAGTCCATTCACAGTGCTGGGGAACAGCTATAACTACACTATGGGAAACATGTACACTCACTGCACTGGGAAACATGTACACTCACTGCACTGGGAAACGTGTACACTCACTGCACTGGGAAACATGTACACACACTGTACTGGGAAACGTATACACACTGTACTGGGAAACGTACACGCACTGCACTGGGAAACATGTACACGCACTGCACTGGGAAACATGTACATGCACCGTACTGGGAAACATGTACACACACTGTACTGGGAAACACATACATGCACTATAACAGGAAGCATGTACAGGCAGTATACCTGGAAACACGTACACACACTGTAACGGGAAACACGTACACTCATTGCAGCAGGAAACACGTATGTGCACTTTAATGGTAAACGCATACACGCACTGTACTGGGAAACCCATGCACTCACTTTAACGGGAAACACGTACACACACTGTACTGGGAACCATGTACACTCTCTTTAACGGTAAGCACATACACGCACTGTACTGGGAAACACGCACACTCACTTTAACGGGAAACGCGTACACACACTGTATTGGGAACCATGTACACTCACTTTAATGGGAAACATGTACACACGCACTCACTGTACCTGGAAACACGTTCACTCCCTGTAGGGGAAACACATACACGCACTGTACTGAGATACACATACCCTCACTGCACCAGGAAACATGTACACGTGCTGTACTGGGAAATGGGTCCATTCACTGCCCTGGGAAACAGCTACACCCACTCTACAGGAAATGCATACACTTACTATACCAGGAAATACATATGCTCACTGTACCTGGAAACACGAATACTCACTGTACCTGGAAACATGTAGACACACTGTAATGCGAAACATGTACACGCACTGTACAGGAAATACATGCAGATGCACGGTAATGGAAACACGTAAATGTACTGTACCAGGAAACAGGTACACGCATTGTACTGAGAAACATGTACTAAAGCGGGAAACACTTACACTCACTGTACCGGGAAACATGTACATTCACTGTACCAGGAAACACGAATACTCACTGTAACAAGAAACACGAATACTCACTGTACCTGGAAACATGTAGACGCACTGCAACAGAAAACACATACACACACTGTACTGGGCATTGGGTCTGCTCACGGTACCAGGAGACGCATACACCCCATGTACTGTGAAATGGATCCAGATACTGTACTGGAAAACAGGTATACCCACTGTCCCGAGAAGTGGGTCCATTCCTTCCCCGAAAGGCATTAACAAACCTGATGGATTTTTGCAATTGTGGTCTCACGTTCATAATTCTACTCACACCCAATTTGAAATATATTGATTGAATTTATATTCCACTCGCTGGCGTGGTAGGATTTGAGCAATTGTCCCAGAGAATATGCCTGTGTCTTTGAATCATTCATCAAGTGACATTATCGCTGCACTATCACCTCCCCTTTCAGGAACTAAGGACTTTCATATGCTTGATTTCCCATGTTAATTCTGATCATTCTCTCTCTGCAGCTTTTCTGCAGCTGTAATACTATAATCTGCACTCTGTTCTGCTACCCTGATGCACTTTGTATGGTGCGATCTACTTGTATAGCGCGCAAAACAGCACTTTTCACTGTATCTCGGTACATGTGACAACAATAAATCAAATGATCAATTTAAATTGGGCAGAACTTTACAGGCTGCTGTGAGTTATTAGGAGGATGGGCATAGGAATTTAATAAGGAGGGAGGGAAAAAAGTCAGTTTCCTGATGAAGAGTTGAACTTGTGTTATTAAATTCTCAAAACCTTTTCAGGCAGGTTGGAATTGCCAGCCTTCATGCTTTGTATTCATTAGATGTCATGAATATCATGAATGACCAAGCCTGCTGAAATTACTTGTAGTGGCACAATTTTGTTCACCAAAAATAAGAATCATAAACCCAACTCAATGTCTGATGCATGAAACTGATGGGGTAGACTTTTTCCTGTCAGCTCCAGTTTGTACAAACTTGGTCAGTTACTCAGCTCCTTCATAACCAATGCAAACACTTGCAGCATTTTCTGAAGAAGGGTCCAGACCTGAAACAACAGCTTTCCTGCTCCTCTGATGCTGCCTTGCCTGCTGTGTTCATCCAGCTTGTTATCACTTCTAGCATTAGGAGTGAGCCTCTCCATGTTGACCAGCCCATGAGAAGTCTCAGTCAGTGCAGTCTGGATTGTAGCTGGGAGACAGGAAAAGTAAGGCAGCCATAGGGCAGGCAGGCAGGGCTGAACTCAAAAGCCATCTTTTATGCTGGTGTCCTTGTCCCATGCAAGCCTTTTCTAAAAGCTGTCAGGAGTGTACATTCTTCGAGTTGTGAGGAAATGTCAGTGACCTGATAGTATGTGAACTGCTGAGTGCTGTAGTTCCTAGGTATAAAGTGTGAACCCTAGCAGATATGTGAAAGACAGGATCCTTATGGATACAGCCGTGCTTTGTTAGTAGCTGCAGTGAAGTGACAGACATTGCTTGCACGTGAGCCATCTGGTGGGGATGCCTGACACACCCAGCCTCCTGTGTGACAGTGGACTGCAGCAATAACCTTACACCACTAACTCATGCTCCTACGAATGTGAAGCATTGAGTAGACAGTGGGACATACCCTAGAAGAGCACAGCACATCATTCCTCCTCTTTTGGTATTGGAAGCAAGTTCTCATGAGTGGCCACAGTTGTCGACTTCCACAGCCACCTCTGTCCAGCTGCCTTCATCAGTCAGAATGACATCTTGTTGTCATTCACAGAGAAAGACCACTTCCATTTCCCTCCCTGGACAGTCTTCAGAAGAACCTCTAGGGAGACATGGCTTAAGTGTGACACCACTTTGTCATGGTCTCTGTCATCTCTGGGAGTGATGAGGTGGGGTGGAATGATGAGCAGAGCTTCAGTGATGCTCCTAGGTTGTTGCAAGTGAAGTGCTGTCCCAGTGCTTTTTTAAATATGGTGTCTGGATATTGGAGCCCTGCATGTTTCAGAACTTCCTACCTGTAAAATCCAGTGTTTTTCACACATATGCATATGTAATGAGTGGAGAACAGCAGTACCATGGGAAAAAAACCACCTCACCCTGAAAAATAGTCCGTCCAACTGTCAGAGCCACCATGACTCTTAACCTCGAGAGAAAATTCTGCTCATCGTTTCCACTTCTGGAAACCCAAAGTTAAGGATTAACTGTTTCCATGCTGTGCTATCTGTACAGCTCTATATACACCATTTTTGTAAACAAATGGAAGGTTTCAGTATGAAGCTCAGCTTTCTATTCTGCTGGTGAAGAACTACGTATAATGGAATTTAAATGTAACTAATCGTGAGTTTGTCAATCACACTAGAGTTTTCTGATTTTTCTTCATGTAGATCTAAGAAGTCACCAGTTGCTTCAAAGAGGATCAGCAATATTATTGACTACTTGACCTATGAAGTCTTTAAATATTCAGTGCGTGGTCTTTATGAAACTCACAAGTTCCTTTTCACTTTATTGCTGCCTCTGAAGATTAACCTTGAGCGAGGTTACATCAAGCACAATGAATTTCAGACCCTTATAAAAGGTATGGTTCCTTATTCCCGAGAATCTCAGCTGGACGTAGAGAATTAGTGAAGCTCCTATTATATTCAATGGGCTACAATGGATGTATAAATTATAACATTTCTTTAAATTATCTTTTAAGCAACTTAAAAATTCCTTGTGACCCACACCAGTGCTGAAAATGCAGCAAAGTAAAAATTGTGAGCACTGCAGTGGCCTTGGCCTTGTTGCAAAACCCCACTCATCTCAATACTGGTCAGCAGGTTAAGTGCTGCTTGATGTTGCTCAAGCCAGCCAAGGCCAAGGTTTGGCTGTAAACAAGGGGGGTGAGCATGACAACAACCCTACTGCCACTCCCCACCCCACCGTAAAATCCAGCCCATTGTTTTGGTTCAGGTACACATGCTGTCTAGGAAACTGGAGAACTGTTTTACTAAAGATGAATTCTTTGTCTCATTGTACAGGTGGCGCAGCTCTTGACCTAAAAGCTAGTCCACCAAAACCCTTCCGCTGGATCCTTGATATGACCTGGTTGAACTTGGTGGAGCTGAGCAAACTCTCTCAGTTTGCAGAGATATTGACCCAGGTATTGTAGCTGTTTCCTGTTCAGGAGCATAACGTACAAACTGATTCAACAAACAAACAGAAAGTGTCACAGTTTTAAATAGGCCAATCCTTGAATTGGAAACACATTTGGGAACATGGAAAGTTAACAGCAAAGTCATCATTATGGCTAATCTTATCAGCAATGTTGCATTTTCTAATCATTCTAAAGTCACTTTATTCTAGTTGCATTTTAATGGGAGATGAACTGCAGCCCTTAGAAGGTTGGGATCCAGGACGAGTGAGGGACAGAAACTGCAGTGGAGCTAGAGATGAATAGCAGAAACCTGCTTTTCATGACCCTTGTAATTATTATACTAGGGTCCTACAGATTGAGACTGTCCTATGTGTGGCACAAACAAAACCAGTGTTAAAAAGGGAGCTGATGTGTTTGTGAGTCCAAGTGGTAACATTTTCAACAATTAATATCGTCTAATTATAACTATTATTTGTAGATGAAGTCTAATCAACTGTTGTTCCTATAGCTATTTACTTCTTTTTTGTAATTCTTTTATGGATGTGTGTTGCTGACGAGGCAGCATTTGTTGTCAATCCGTCAGTGCCTTTAAGAAGGCCAAGGCTCAGAACCACTGTTCTCTGCAGTGTCGGCAGACCCACATGCCATTGGACAGGATGTTCTAGGATTTTGACCCAGAGGCAACAAAGGAAGGGTGATATAATTCCAAGACATACTGCGTATGACTTGAAGTAGGCAGTGCAAGTGGTGGTGCTCTCATGTATCTGCCACTCTTGCTCTTCTAATTAGTAGAGTTCCTGGCTTTGGAAGATGCTGTCAGACGAGCTTTGATGAGTTAATGTAGTTCATCATGTAACTGGTACACACTGCATCTACTGTACATTGATGTGGAGGGAATCTGTATTTAATGTGGTGAATAGGATACTGATCAAGCGGGCTGCTTTGTTCTGGATGGTGTCAAGCTTCTTGAGTGTTGTTGGAACTGCACCCATCCAGACAAGTGGGGAGTATTCCATCACACTCCTGACTTGTGCCTTGTAGATGGTGGACAGGCTTTGGCAAGTCAGGAGGTGAGCTACTCATTACAGCATTTCTGCCTTCTGACCTGCTCTTGTAACCATTGTATTTATATAGCTCAATTGGGTTCAGTTTTCTTCTATGTTTTTGTTGTTAATATAATTCTTAGCGCACTCACGATTACTGAATAAGTACTGTCCAATCATAAGAATACATCTAATGTTTGCCATTATTTTCTGTGTTCTGCAAATTTGGGCTGATTGAGTACAGCTGGTACTCTGCCTGCTGTGAACAGCTGGTTCAATATGATCCACTTGTCTTTGGGAAAGTATTACTTATCATCATACTGGCACTGAAATACATATACTGCATTACCAATTTGTGTGATTAGTCGAATGTCTTTTTGACATGATTATAGTATCCTTCCGGTAGAGAATACAACTCGTTCTTGCATAGTAGCAGCAGTGTGAACTGGCTAGCTGCCTTGATGTTCAATTTTCTGCAATACCATATCCTTCCAGGGTAATGTAAGGTAGACTGGGCATTTTTCTGAAGCCAAAAATTTCAGTCTTAGGCCCATTCAAGGCTTTGTGGCAAATACTACAAGCAGTGATTTCTTAGGGATAGCCATTATCATGCAGGATGGCTTTGATGCACCCTATTTTAGCAGCCAGTTTTTACAGATTGCAAATAGGTTGGGCCCCGTGAACGAGTTGCCAATAAAAGTTAATTTATGCAACATGGAAAAGGGGTTCTTCTGGTGTAATGGTAATGTCCCTAACTCTGAGTTGGGAGGCCTGGGTTCAATTGCCATCTCCTTCAGAGGTGTGTAGTAATGTCCCTGAACAGGTTGATCAGAAAATATCTTGAACTGAGAATCCCAATATTTATTGTGAAGGTAGGCTGGCATTTCCACAGTGAATTTGAGTGTGAGTTAGAGCACCTTAAGGTCTGCAAGAAAATTCTTATTTGCAGCTGTGTGTTCAATACAACAAACATACGACCCATCTCCTTGTTGTCAGCAATCACGAACGAGTATGATTGTCTACCCAGGAAATCCCATGTCACTGGTCATGGATGCTGTGGGTTCTTGTCTGGCTGATGAGCCTGGTCCTAGAGGCACATCTGCAACCACACATTTGGCAGGTGTTTCTGGGAGTTAGAACTGATCCTTGACCTTGAGATCGCTGGCATTTCTTTCTCCAGTTCCTTTTCCGTATTTCCTTTTGCCAATGCATGTTCTCAAAAGATTGTATCCCTTCATATAGGGGTTTCCTCCAAGTCAGTTTATTCTGAACAAGTGTACCCCACACATTGATATCTAATGTGCACTTCTTGAGGGAAGTCTTCATGGTGTCTTTGAAATTCTTCCTTGTTTGAGTGCCTTCCTTAAGCTGAGCAAAAATTATTTGCTTTGGCAGTCAGAACTCAGTCATCCTAAGCACATGGCCAGCCCAGCGGAGTTGGTTTCAGATGATCACGGCTGATGCTGATGCGATTGGCTCCTTCAAGGGTGTTAATGTTAGTACACCTGTCCTGCCAGCCTATGCAGAGAACATTCTGAAACAGCATTGATAGTGGACAGGATTTTGTTGAATGCTGAGGGGAAATGGTTGGAAACTCTCTTGTTCCAGATAGTCATTGGCTGGCATTTGCACAGCATGAATGTTTCTTGCCAATTATAAGTCTGGATATTGTCCAGGTCTTGCTGCATTTGAAAATGGACTGCTTTAGTATCTAAGGAGTTGTAAATGGTGAACATTGTGCAGTCATCAGCAAACATCCCCACTTCTGACCTTCTGATCTTATGATGGAGGGAAGGTCGTTGGTGAAGTAGCTGAACTAAACTCACCAACTCAGCCCTTCTGGCTGAAGACAGCGGTCTTCTTAATTTCAGTGGTGGGAGAGGTGAGAGCGCAGGCCAGGGGGCAGCCAGGAAGTAAGGTTTCCTGATAAATAAACTTGCCTCGTGAATAGGCGGAGCGAAGGCTGAGCAGAGCAAATGCGGACACGGGGACTGCTGGGTAAGTGAACTGTTATATTCGGGCAGTGCCTAACCCGAAACACTGCACAACTAGTGTCTCCCACCCATCATCCTCCTCTAACCAAAAAAAAATGACTCTGTGTGGAGGGTTGGTTAGGTAAGCTTTTTTTTCTCTTTATCTCTTTTGAAAATTTAGAGTAGAGGGGATGGAAGCTAGGGCAGTTGCATGCTCCTCTTATAAGATGTGGGAGGTAAGGGTCACTACTAGTGTCCCTTCTGACTTCACCTGCGAGAAGTGCACCCAACTCCAACTTCTCACAGACCGCGTTAGGGAACTGGAGCTGGAGCTAGATGAACTCAGGTTCATTCGGGAGGCAGCGGGGTGATAGATAGGAGTTATAGGGAGGTTGTCACACCCAAGTTACAGGATAAAGATAGCTGGGTGACTGTCAGGAGAGGGAAAGGGAATAGGCAGATAGTGCAGGGATCCCCTGTGGCCGTTCCCCTCAATAATAAGTATACCGCTTTGGATACTGTTGTGGGGCATGACCGACCGGGGAAAGCCATAGCGGCCAGGTCTCTGGCACTGACCCTGGCTCTGTGGATCAGAAAGGAAAGGGGGAGAATAGGAGAGCAATAGTGATAGGAGATTCAATAGTTAGGGAGATTCTGTGGTCATGAATGAGACTCCCGGATGGTATGTTGCCTCCTGGGTACCAGGGTCAGGGATGTCTTGGATCGAGTCTACAGGATTCTTAAGGGGGAGGGTGAGCAGCCAGAAACCGTGGTACACAACGGTACCAATGACATAGCTAGGAAACGGAATGAGGACCTGAAAAGTGATTATAGGGTGTTAGGTTTGAAGCTAAAAGGCAGGACGAATGGAGTAGTCATCTCAGGATTACTACTGGTGCCATGGGCTAGTGAGGCTAGGAATAGAGAGTGAGTGCAGCTGAACATGTGGCTACAGAGCTGGTGTAGGAGGCAGGACTTCAGATATATTGGATCATTGGGATACCATCTGGGGAAGGTGGGACCTGTACAAGAAGGACTTGAACTGGAGGGACACCAATATCCTAGGCGGGAGGTTTGCTAGAGCTCTTCGGGAGGGTTTAAACTAGTTAGGCAGGGGGATGGGAACTGGAGCTATGGATCAGAGAATGGGGTAGCTGGTGTATAGGCAGATACATCATGCAGAGAGTCAATGAGGAAGGATAGACAGTTGATAGCGCAATGCTGCAGTCAGTGCAATGGGTTGAAGTGTGTCTATTTTAATGCAAGAAGTGTCAGGAATAAGGGTGATGAACTTGGATCAGTACTTGGAGCTACGATGTTGTGGCTATTACGGAGATTTGGATAACACAGGGGCGAGAATGGCTGTTGGATGTTCCGGGGTTTAGATGTTTCAAAAGAAATAGGAAGGTAAAAGAGGTGGGGGAGTGCCATTGCTAATCAAGGATGGTATCACAGCTGCAGAAAGGGAGGTCATCAAGGAGAGTTTGTCTACGGAGTCAGTATGGGTGGAAATCAGAAACAGGAAAGGAACAGTCACTTTATTGATAGAGTTTTCTATAGACTCCCCGATAGCAACAGAGACACTGAGGAACAGATTGGCAGACAGATTTTGGAAAGGTGAAGAAGTAATAGGGTTGTTGTCATGGGTGACTTCAACTTCCCTAATATCGACTGGAACCTCCTAAGTACAAATAGTTTGGATGGAGCAGATTTTGTGAGGTGTGTCCAGGAAGGATTTCTGACTCAATATGCAGATAGGCCAACTAGAGGGGAGGCCATATTGGATTTAGTGCTTGGCAACGAACCAGGCCAGATGTCAGATCTCCAGATGGGAGAACGTTTTGGTGATAGTGATCACAACTCCCTGACCTTTACTATAGTCATGAAGAGGGATAGGAGCAGACGGTATGGGAAAGTATTTAATTGGGGGAGGGGGAATTACAATGCTATTAGGCAGGAACTGCGGAGCATAAATTGGGATCAGATATTC